ACACACTGAGCATACTGACATGCGCACAGAAATTCTTAGATGCAACCACTTTAAAGAGGGTGTTGCAAGCCGGAATTCCCCTTGCATCTCTCTGAATAGTCACACTGCGCATGGATTATGGCCAGTAGTGGGAAGAGGGGGAAACAGCGAGGTGACGAGGGAAACATCTCCACCATTGTTCTAAGGGTGAAGACTCTGGAGGGTTGAGTCTGGTTGGAAGCTAAGCCGGTGGTACTGTGAAAGGAGCATGGGTTTGCAGTCCCAGATTCCCAGTTTCATGGGCAGTCTTTACCTCTTTCAGCCTCAGGTGCCTCATCTGTAAAATGGGACCAGCACCTTTTTAAGGTTGATGTGGAAAGTACATGACATAACTCAGCTAAAGCAAGTGGGAAATTGGAAGAGTCCCAAAAGGGTCAGTCCCTCCCTACGTGGAATGAGGGCACTGACAGCTTCAGGGCTTTGAGAACCCACTGTAAGGGACTGTATCTGCTGTCTTTACGTAATTTTTTTTAATGTTTGGATTATATAAACAGACTAAAAGAAGCAGACCTAAAAATGGGAGAAAATGTCTAGGGAAACACAGTTGTGTTGACCGGATACAATCCGTCACTATGCACATGAAGCATTCAACTGGATGGTCCCAAGCCATGGGCTAAGGTCATGGTTACAATTTTCAGGACACAGAGGATGTGTCACTAATCATAATTAATACCAAGGTCTTTAGAAGAGATTTAGGGCTTTCATCAATTTCAGTAGAGCATGAGAGTGGGGTAGTTAACAATAGTGAGGAGAGGAACAATGGGGGAGTGGTGCAGGACTGGGCAGTGTTTCCATCTCTTGGGTGTGTGGTTGCTGCTAATTCGATGACAACATATAACAACAGGCAATCTCTGACTTTTCTTGAATGATGGGGGATGGAGTGATAATTGGGGGTTGTAGGCACACAGCTGCATGTTCCTCAGTAGATATTGGCATTGCCACTGCTGTCATAGCACTCAAAGAGGCATGGTGCCAAGGCTTTCCCAATGAGCATTCAAAGGAAATCTTTGGTACCAGCCAAAGATGCTCTGAATTCAGGGAATGTCTAGGTAGGAAAAGTAGTTAATGAGCCTGGCTTCAACTGTAAGGTTGGAGGTTCAGATCTACCAATGGGACTCCTTGGGAAAGTCCAGGTGGACTAATTCTGAGAAATCAGTCATTAAAAATTCTGCGGAACCCCGTTCTACTCTGACATCTATAGGGAGGGTCTCCACGAGTTAGAATCGACACATGGCAACTAGTAATTTTTGTTTAACCTTTCAGATTTCCCATCGCACTTATTTCCTTCCACTAAGATACTTGCTAGCTTGAAGTGACTTTCCCTTTCCACAAGTAGCTGGCTTTACTTATCACCGCTGAACAACAAAAATTGTTCTTCTGGGTCGCTAGGCCTGTCCCTGGGGCGCTGATACAAATTGCGTTGGACGACTGCCTCAGCTCTTAGATGTGGTGTTCCATTGTATTTTCAGCTATTAAATCATAATGATTTATTAATTTATCATCCTAAATATGAGAGGATTCAGACCCACAGATTACGGGTTCAGACAAAATCGATGAGAAATATTTGAAAAAGAATTAGGTATGAAGGGACTTCCACGGGAAGCTGTATATGGACCCTTGGTGGCTAGCTGGTTGCATGTTGAGTGGCCAATCTAAGGTCAGTGGTTGCAACCCACCAGTTTCTCTGCAACCTTTAAAAAAGTTAAAGGTTTAGAAATCTGAAGGGGCAGTTTTTCTCTGTCCTGTATGGTCACGATGAGTTAGAATCAACTAGATGGCCATGGGTGGTTCTTTTTGGTAAGGGAGACTGTGCAATATACACAGCTTGGATACCGTAAAGCGAGAGCACAGCTTGAGAAGAGTAGAAAACAAAAAAGAACATCGAAAAGGTACATATATGGGAGATGTGCGGACAATTTTGAGTGTGAAAAACATAAGCTTTCATAGCATTTTCCCAAATGTTTTGAAGATCTAAGTTTTTCTTCTTGAAATTATGCAGTAAAAATTTCAGAACACATCTTCGTATTTATATGTCAATGGATGAGTCATGTTAAATATTTTAGAGGTGGATGAGGTTGGCTCCAAACATCTCTGTAGGAAAAATTCAAACTTTCTTTTAAGGGTTTCTGTACTCAGGTGAAGAAGTCATGCCATCTTATAATAAGACTGGAACATTTTAATTTTAATAAAGGAGTTTGAGCTCGGACAGACCCATTTTGGGTTTCAGAACATTTGAATATTTATTGTACCAAACTCACTACCAGTTGGTCAACTCTGATGCGTAGTGACCCTATGGGACAGAGGGAACATCTCCTGTGGGTTTCTGAGGCTATACATCTTGATGGCAGTAGAAAGTCTCATCTTTAATTTACAGATCAGCTGGTGAGTTCGAATAGCTGACCTTGTGGTAAGCAAACATATAACTTAGCACACCATAAGACTCCTTATTTACTGTACAGAAACTCTTATTTCTGGGCCCTTTTTAAAAGAAATCAAATTGGAACTGCTTGCTATTCAGTTCCTAATAAACATGAAGTGTTGCTTGGGGGAAATTCCAAGTTCATGTAATTTGCACTGTTCAAATATATCTTTGGATCGAAGGACACCATATGAAGTATAACTTGACCTAAATGTTTAGTACAACACAAACTACTCAGGCTAACTAAGCAAATACCCAGGCTCACTGCCATTGAGTCCATTTGACTCATAGAAATCCTACAAGACAGGTGCTCCTGTGGGTTTCTGAGACTGCAACTCTTTTCAGAAATAACAAACCTGGTCTTTCTCTCAAGGAGCAGCTGGTAGTTTCAAACTGATGACCTTGAGGTTAGCTAATGCATAACCACTACGCCACCAGGCTTCCCAGGCTAGCTAGCACTACATCAAATTATCCTGTTTTTTGTTGTTGTTGTTGTTGTTGTTGTTTTTTAATGTGTGAGCTGAGTGAAGTGCAGTATATGGCATTTGTCTTGTATCCCAAAAACTAGAGCCGATAGGGAAACTGGGGCCATTTTGGAAACCAGCAGGTCAAATATACCCAGAAACAGGTCTGACATTTGAGGCACCAAACTGTCAGTTGGCCAGTGAGTAGAATTGACTTTTGGATACCTGTCAGACTTACATGAATATAGGGGTGTCAGCTGGCATCCTGGGCCTCCCATGAAGGCTGCTGAGATCACAACGGCCACCCCAAGTCGCTTTCCAACCTTGAATCTCACAGCAAAGGTGTCTTTAAGAAAGTTTCTGATTCTCAGCCTTTGGAAAGAGAGTGGATTTGGTTGTTTTGGACATGAGGCATCAAAGAAAGGACAATGCTAAGAACCCAATTCCTTTTGGGGTGAGAATGTCATCTTTTTAATATTCAGCCACATTACATACACCCTGACAGAGGTGAGCATCAACTCACAGGAAAATGATTAGTCCAACTTTAAAAAAAAAAAAAGAAAAAGAAAAAAATTAATCCCAATTTATTTGGATTACAAAAATAACAGCACACCTAACTCACTCATCACAGTTCAGAGTCACCAATGCTTCCAGAGAGATGAAAAGCATCTTCGAATAAATTGCTTCTTGCCAATACCAATCTCAAGGCATAAAAAAGAAGTTTATTTTCATATTTACAAAGCAAACGTGGTTGCCTTTTGGATTCTCATTGGAATTAATAGGTAAGGCTACATTTAAAAGTCAGGAAGATATCCAATCAAATATGGTATTTGGGGAACATCTCACGATGCATTTTCTCAGGGAACAACTCTGCATCCTCTTCTAAAGATCGGGATTTTTATCGAAGGGCTTCGGGCACATCCACCTACAAAATATAGGGGATTTTCTTTCAATAAAATCACATATACAACAAATGAAAAAAAAAAACATCTGCAGGTTATCCATGGGTCGAGATCAAATCTACGACAACTAACAAACAACAACTGTGTCACTTTGGCAGGATCTCAGAGAGGACTTGGCTAAAGATGATTGTGTCACCGTATTCAACTTTCTTATTATAAACTAAGCCTTAAAATCATTTGCAGTCCATGGCAGACGCTTTGGACTAGTGACTAATCCTTTTAGGGTGTAGATTATAAGGTCTGGTTTTGTTATGAAGGAAGTCGGATATACATATATGGATATACATAGATAATATATATACATATGGGTGTGTATCTGCCATCAGTAAATTCTGACTTACAGCGACCCTGTAGAACAGGGTAGAACTGCCTCTGTGAGTATCCGAGACTGTAACTCTTTATGGGAGTAGAAAGCCCTGTCTTTCTCCTGTGGAGCAGCTGGTGATTTCAAACTGCCGACCTTGTGGATTACAACCCAACATGTATCACTGCGTTAGATCTCTCTCTAGCTATAATCTTGGCAGAAGTACAGCCAGAATGCCCCTTCGAGGCAAGATTGTCAAGACTTCATCTCACATGCTTTGCACATGTTAAGAGCCATCAATCGCTGGAGAAGCACATCATGGTGGGTGAAGTAGGGCGAGGGTGAAAAAGAGGAAGGCCCCCAATGAGATCGATTGACGCAGTGGCTGCAGCAACGGGCTCAGACACAGGAACAATCGTGAGATGGCACAGGACCGGCGTGTTTCATCCTGTTTTACACCGTGCCACTAGGAGTCAGAACCAACCAGATGGCACCTAACAACAGCAAGGTAGGGAGGAGCTTTTGCAAAGAGGGCATGGCTCTCACAGGATTAAGATACCCAGGTACACCTCTCAATTGGAAAGGTACTCACTCCTGTGCCTGTTCCTAACGTTTCAGACGTGGTGTGCAGGCTCTCGCCTACTGAAGGATTGAAAACATGAATACATACTTGGAGAGGGCACTTTGGTCCCATCACGACATGAAGACCACCTCCTTGTCTGCTCTCGGCACTCACCCGTCTCAGCTGTCTGATGCTGCTTCCCCGGATGGCGTCCATAAGGTTGTCATGGGCGGACCTCTGTGGGGTAGACGGTCTTGAGCTGTCGTCCATTTTCTTCTCTTGTACAGACCTCAGGGAGTTTTTTATTTCCTTTAGGATATTGTTGGGCTGTTTCTTCCCTTTCTTCCCTTTTTTCTTTTTCTGTCCATTTTGTTGTACCCGCTGAGCACTCTCCTGCTGCTTGATAACTTCTGCAATGTTTCGGGTGATTAGCTTTGTTTCAGGGAGTGGAGGAGGAGGAGGAGGAGGAGGAGGAGGTGGTGGTGCTAGGGCTTGTGGGGGAGGTGGGGGTGGAGGAGGCGGTGGGGGCGTGGCCACTGGAGAGGGAGGCCGGCTCCTCACACTTTGCACTTTCTTGGGAAGTTTGGGGGACGACCAGGGAGACTGTCTGGGAGATGCGTAAGGGGACGAGCCGGGAGTTCCCCTTTGCCAGACTTTGGTCCTCAGGTTGGCTCCTCCATCGTAGCCCTCTTGCTGTTTCTGCTCCTGCATCCGCTTTTGCCTCTGTTTATCCATATTCCGTGTCAAAAGGCTCGTCATGCTCATGCGTGGTCCTGGGAGCTCAAAATGGTACCCCAGCCTCAGCAGCGTGGTGTTCTCCTTCAGCAGCTTGACGATCTCCATCTCCACCTGGCTGCCCATGATGTGCCTCTGATTGTGGAAGCGCAGCTCGGTGAGCACCGTGTTGTTCTGCAGGGCTCTCATGATGGCGAGGATCCCCTTGCCCGTGATGAAGTTGGACTCCACGTTGATGTTGGTGATGTGCTGGTTGACCTTGAGCATCTCCGCGATGGCCACAGCGGCACTGTCATCGGCGTGCGTGTTGGCCAGACTGAAGGTCTTCACCACCGTGTTGTTCTTGAGGGCCTCGGCAAAGCGGATGAGAGTCGGTGTTGTGATGTTCTCGATATTGTTCAAATTGACTTCCGTGGTGTCCGGGTCATTGTTTGTGATCTTTTCCAAAGCATCATCGATGACCGTGGGGTTGCCACAAGGGTGAATGGCCGCGGGTGACTCTGCGTTTCTCTTGCTTTGGCCATTGGTTAAGTTTATGTTTTCTATTTGACTCTTGAATGTCTTTGGCTTGGAGTTGTCTGAATCTGCTCCATTGTCGTTTACAGTTCCATTGATGGCTTTTGCGTTTTCGATGGTTTCTTTCTCTTTGTGGCTATCTTCCTCCTCCTCTCCCTCCTCCTCCTCCTCCTCCTCCTCCTCTTCCTCCTGGGACTCCTCCTCTTCCTCTTCTGTATACACCTCTTCAGAAACCTCACTGTTCGTTTCAGTGAAGATGAGCTCTTCCTCACTCTCCTCCTTGTCTTCTTCTGCGGCCTAAAGAGTATGATAGGCAATCATGAAGGTTTGCATTGTCAAGTGCATGCTTTTAATCGATGAGAGTAGCACACAACAGGAAAGCATAGAAAGGGCAAGGTTAATAATCTACTGTGTCTGATAGCACCAGTTCAGGTGGCCAATGTGAACATTTCATTATATTTCTTACAACAGCTTTTGGCAAACGTGCACATATCTGCTGCTGTGTGCTGTACCATGAATGCCAACTCATGCCAACTCTATAGGACAGAACAGACCTACTCAGTAGGATTCCTATGGCTATAATCTTATGGAAAGGAGACAGGGTGGCATAGTGGTTATGCCTTGGGCTGCTACCCATAAGGTGGGCACAAGGTAGGCAGTCTGGAACCACTATGGGAGAAAGATAAGATTTTCTACTCCCATGAAATGTTACAATCCACAGGGGCAGTTCTACTCTGTCCTGTAGGATCTCCATAAGTCAAAATTACCTCAATGGCAGTGAGTTTTTTGATTCACTCTGGACGCATCCTGTCACGTGTTTATTCTGAAGAATGGTTGGTGAGTTCATACCAATAACCTGCTGACGACCAGCTAAGTCCTTACCCACTGTACCAACAAAGACATTTTAGAGAATCAGTATCCAGAATTCCACCTACTGAGTCAAAGTATCCTATCAGTCGGCCAACTTGAACAAGTCAGTCAGAACTTTGGCTTTGGAAAAAACCCTCCTTGACAAATGTGTGGCTCTCTTGTGGAGTAAATGGTTAAACATTGAACTACTATCCAAACAGTTGGCAGTTCCCACCGACCCGAAGAGATGCCTGGGAAGAAAGCCCTGCTCATCTGCTTCCAAAAGGTCACAGCCATGAAAGCATGATGGGAGGCAGCTCGACTCTGAAACACACGGGGTTGCCATGAGTCAGAATCAACTCCACTGCCACTGGTTTTGCTTTGTTGTTGTTTTTTTAACCACTGACCCTGAACGATTTGGTTCTAAGTCTATTGACAGTTTAGTAGTCCCCATCCTCTCTTCTGCAATCACCCTCTATCCTTATTCCTCCACCCCAAACAGACCAAGGCCAATCAAAAACATATGACATGTTGATGAGTTCTCTTGTGTAACCTTAAAAAGCTCTTCCCCAGATTTGTCTTGCACAGCGGATGTGGCAGGAACCCATTGCTCTCTGCTTGGCTTGGTCCATCATGGACGGAGGCAGGGGCGCTATGTGCCCTCCAGCATTTCTGTGCCTGTGAGTGGCGGCCTGGCACAGAGAGCTGTGGCTGTACGTAGCCATGACCTGGGAAGGGAAGCCCAGGGGACAGGGCTGCTGCTCAAGAGAATGGGAAGCCTGAACCCAGTTCTTTACAGAAAACAATTCAACTCACCCTTTTCAGCAACTTGATACCCACGCTCGAGCTGGGCTGAGATGAACTATGAAAGGAGCAGACCAGATAGGCAAGATAATCACTTTTGGCACCTACTAGAGTCTGCCCATCATGTGGGACAGCAGAGAAGGTAGAAAATCTTGTAGTAAGTGTTGCCTTAGCCAATGGTCTTAAATTATTTAGCACGCATCAATTATGAAAGGCCTAGAGGTGGCACAATTTCATTCTACCTTTGTCATTCCTGTTTACAAAACTCTCTCTACCAAGAAGCCCAAGTGTCTCCTTCCTCCTTCCCCTTTCTTGCTATCTTTTCTGATGACAAAGAACAACAACAAAAAAACCCCTGAAAACTGCTCAAGGTCTGTGGTTTTTTTCTCCTGCTATATTTTTAGGCCCTTTATGCATCTTCTCTGAAGCCCTAGGGTTGTCTCCGATGCCTGGAGCCCCGATTCTTCGCTCTATGCTGGCAGAGGTGCTTGACCGCCAGGCTCCTGCTGCCAGAGGCACATGAAACAGGCTTTGGAAAACAGTGCACTCCCCTCCAGGTTTGTTTGTCCAGTTGCTATCACAAAACAGTCTCCACTTGTCCACTTGTTTGGAGTGGCAGGCACCAAGTGATGGCCTGGGAAGGGGTCAGCGTCTCCTAGGATGGCTTGTCCAGTATTAATTTACACCCACTTATTTTAGAGTAGGAGCGAGGATAATACTGTGCATGTGTGTCTGTCTGTCTGTATGTGTGTGTGCATGTGTGTGGAGAAAGAGAGGGGGGAGACAAGCACACACAAACATGCATATACAGAAGGAGAGCAATGTACAAATGTACATTGGATGGATGGAGTGTGATAAGAGTTGTACGAGCCCCCAATAGAATGATTTTTTTAAAAAGGAGAGAGAAGGCACAAGTGGAACCCAAAACACGAGATAAAGATGAGATGGAGACTCTACAGCCCAGTTTCTTGGCATATGTGAGGAAAGAGAAAGCCTCCCCTGCCCAACAGTAGAGCAAATGGATTAACTAGAGAAAGGAAAGACCGTGTAAAGTAGGCTTTCCTCACAGCTCACTCCAAGTCCCTTTGTGTGTTGTTGACAGGTGCCTTCAAGTCAGCCCTAACTCAGCGAGTAACCTTCTGTACAACAGAAGAAAACAATCCTGTCCCCCAACAATCCTCACAGTCATTACCATATTTAAACCTATTGTAGCTACTGTGCCAAGTCATCACCTTGGCTATTCCCCTTTTACTGACCCTCTGTTTTATTAAGCATGATGTCCTTCTCCAGAGGCTGGTCCCTGCTGGTAAGATATGTCAGGTGCATAAAACTTATCAGGGCTTGGGTAAGGAGAGCCTTATTCCACAAAGTGGCAACCTTTGATTTTTAATACTTGAGTTTGTTTGTTTGTTTTGCAGAAGACTTGCCCATGGCAATCATCATGGGACCTCTTGACTGCTGTTTCCATGGGTGTTGATTGTGAACCCAAGAAAAATGAAATCTTTGACAACTTCAGTCTCTTCTCCATTTATCATAACATTGTTTATTGGTGTCCACTTGACGGGGCCAAGTGGTTTGGCACTTGAGACCTCCCCATGGTGTGATCTAACATAACAACTTCTTGTAAGCAAGCAGTTGTGGGAAGATTAGGGTGGAGGCAAGCCCTTTCTCAGATCACAGCTCTGATGATGCTTCCTCAGGGATATAGCCAACGTGATACCTAAGTAGACGCCGTGGAGAACTTCTTTGCTTTTTCTGCTGGGTCTTGATCCTGCATCTAGTTTGCCAACATCTGCTTCTTTGGGCTTGAGCCAAAGGCCCACCCTATTGTCTGCCAATCCTGGAAGTATCAGTGATTTCCCTTCACCTCCTATCGGACCTGCCAGCCTTGAAGTCATTCCACTCTGCAGTCACAAGCTGACCTGTTAGCATTCACCAGTCTGAGGTTTTCCTAAGTCTTGGCCTGTCTTTTTGTTTCCTGTTTGTCAGCGCGATAAACTGCAGGAGTCAGGAGAAGCCTCCAACTTAACGTCTGATCCACAGACTTGAACTACACCAGACTTGCCTGTTTCTATAACTGTATGAATGGAATGATATACCGCATTCTATATTTTCTTCTGAATTTAGCTTGAATTCCAGGCAGTAGCTTCTGTCAAGGTATTATTGCAAGCATTTCTAAGTTATCCTCAGCAAAAATTTAGGTGCATGCAATATTGATGATATTGTTGGATAATTTCCACATTTGGTTGTTATCATTTTGGTAAAAGTAGTCACGTGGTTGGATTTCTTCCAGTCTGTTGGCCAGGTAGCTGTCTTCTAAGTTTCTTGGCATGGAAGAGGAACACTTCCAGCACTGCAGGGTGCTGAAACATCTCAATTGGTATTCTGTTGGTATCTGGAGCCTTGGTTTTTTTATTTTTGTTTTGGGGGTCTTTTTGGCCAGTGCCTTCAGGGCCACTTGGGTTTTGCATACCCACTTATAATTCTAGTCCATCCCAGCTGTGTGTGTGTGTGTGTGTGTGTGTGTGTGTGTGTGTGTGTGTGTGTAGCTGTTTCAGAATCTGGAAGAGAGGAGCTGCCTCAAAATCCCAAATATGCTGCCTTTCAAGCCACCGCTCCAGGCTCTGTCTAGAGGACAGTTTCCCTTCAAAATGGAAGTTGCACAACACAATAAACACAATTGATGGCATTGGATTGCATATAGAAGGATGTTGAAATGGCAGATATTTTGTTCCATGTATATATTTACCACCGTAATAAAATATGGGCCTGGACTGATTGCATCTTATATGGTTATCCAGCCACATAAGTTATCACCTAACATTTAGAGAATACTTCTTACAGAAGGTGTTCTTTGACACCCCCTCCAACTATCCTTGCCCAGTGTGCCCATAGCATTGGACTTTCCCTAACTAAGAAGCGGTTATACTCTATTACTTGTCGTTTTCACCATCAGGTGTTACCTGGATGTGGGGAGGGGCCACTTCTGTTTTGAGCACTTAACACAATGTTTAATACACACAGGGGCTCAGTCAATATTTGCACAGGGCTCTAACTTGATGGAGCAGCTGGGATCCAGGATAAGGCACAGGAGAGAGGACAGACAGCATTGGGTGGGGAAAGGATAAACTATCCCAGTTTGCCCAAGACTGAGGGATTCTCCAGGACCTGGGTTTTCAGTTCTAAATTCGAGATATTCCTGGACCGTCTCAGGTGGTTGGTCACCCTACTTGGGAGAGCTCTGAACAGAGCACACTAGAAGGGAGGAAAGTTTCCTGGTACAGACGTTAGGAGCACACAAAACACAAATGTTGCCTACTTTGCCCGTTTGTGTGGCACCAGGACTGTCTATGTTATTGCAGCTCACCTACGTGCCATTGCGGGGGACTTCATACTGGTCCTGGTGAGAATAAGGGTGGAGAAGTGGCAGTGGGGGGAGGGAATGGGCAGGGAGAAAGTGAGTGTTGAGACATACTGGGGATGAATTAGGCAACAAAGAGAAGGCTGCCAACCATGTCTCCTGGTTGCCTCGCTGGCATCATTGGCATTCTGATCTGCTTCTGGTTCTTCTCATAAAAAGCTGGTTAAATTTAGATAAATCGCTAAGCATCTTGGGGTCTCAAGCAACTACGGCACCACTCAGTAGTTCCCAGACTTTGTTGGTGGTGTTTTAATCAGTTGCCATAGATTTGATTCTGACTCACGCTGACCCTATCCTTGTCGGAGTAGAACTGCTTTCCGTAGGGTTTTCCATGGCTGATTTCTAGAAGGAGATTGCTAAGTCTGTCTTCTGAGATCCTTCTGGTAGACTGGAACCTTCAACCTTTAGATTAGCAGCCCAGCTCGTTAACGGTTTGCAACACCCAGGGACCAACTTCAGCCTGAATCAGGATCCCCTGGAGGGCTTGTTAAACCACACACTGCTAGGTCCTCCCCCAGAATCCCTCATTCTGTAGGTGTGGGGTGGAGATGTGGCGTTTACAGCTTTAAGAAATTTCCAGTGATGCTGATGCTCTTGGTCAGGTGCCTGGATTTTGAGAATAGGGTCTTCGTGCCAGCCAACAGTCCTTGGTTCGACTTTCAGCTGCACTTACAAGCTGTTACCTTCAAGTGCATTCTAAACCTCTCCTGGTTGCAATAGCTGCTCGGCAACAAGGTAAGAATTCAACAAGATATCTAAGTTAAATGCTCCAGTACCTGTACCTGGTATCCCGTAGGTACTCAAGTTGGGGGAACTAGACCCTTAACTAGCCCCTGCCCCTGGAAGGCTGACACAGCACAGGCTCGGGTGAATCAGGTGGGCAGAAGGCTGTCAGTCACAGAGCACAAATGGTTTACACACTCAACAGCTAGTCAAAAGGTTGTCTGCCTTTGGAAACAATCTAAGCAGAGGCACCCCACCCCCCACCCCCCCGCAAAAAAAGCCAGGTGATCTGCTCTGGTCACAGTCTGAACCACCCCACGGAGCAGTCCTGCCCCCCAAACATGGGGTCACCAGGAGTCCGAATTGACTCAATCGCACCTAACAGCAATCCCCGAGCGGATCTCCCCCTCGGTGCTGGTCTTCACTTCCAGTGGTGTTATGGACCGCCCATTCCCCACAGCTGCTTTGAGTCTCTACCCTGGGGTGGAAATGGATTTACGCCCTTCACTAGCCAGCTTCTGCTCAGCAACCCTTGTGACTACAGACAGCTGGCCCTAAGGGAAAGTGGAGTGGGAGAAAAATTATCTAGCTGAGAAAGGAATCCAAGTTCATCAACACGGGCCGTCTCTCTAATTGAGCTGAGAAGCTGTGGTGGTGCTAAAGGAAAGCCATGGCAGGCTCAGGTGGGTTCTATCAACAGCTGACAACAGCTTTAACCTTCCTTTCCCATCGTGGCATCATGACACGATGACCTTCAAACGCCTTGGTTGGATGACGGCGACGGCGGCAGTATGTCCCAGGTATTCAGGGACCATTTTATTCTTCTTATTAAGGACATTCTTGAATAACTTTTAAAAATGATATATTTATTATGCGATCTATTTTTATCCAACTTCTGACACGAATTCTCACACGAAGAAGAAGAAACCTCTGAAAAATACGGTTGTGTAGGAATTGACTGTCCCCAGTCCTGGCCCTGTTGTGTATGCCCTTCCTTTCCACCTCCGCCTCCACCCGCTCAGGATGAGTGACCACTGTGGCCTTGGCAGACCTTGGCCCGACTCCTAGTGGCCCTTCCTGCGATGATTGACATGGACAGAGCTCACACATAACTTGCTACAAATGTTGCCCACACACCCTATCATCAGGATCATGTACCAGCGCCCAGATTAGAGCCCTGGAAGCCTGGCCCTTGGCTTCAGGCCGTTTCGATTGTAAACCATTCCAGTGGAGAGTAGCATGTTTCAACAGTGGGCATTGACTTGGAATCTTCTACAAATGCAGGCACCCCCTCTGTTAGGTTAACGTTCTTCTCGCCATTCCCCAGAAGGTCGTTTTTGAATCATGACTCATTTGGCAAATTGATAGTAACATTTGAATGAGAGATTAATAGGCCTGGACTCTTAAGATAAGCACATTTCCTGGCTTCAGAGTCACCATCGTAAAGTAGGAAGGAATCTTAGGAACTGTCTATGCCATTGCTTAATGTGAGTCCTCGGATGGGTTTCGGGACATGCGCCATCGTCTTGAAATTACGCACAACAGTGCATGTCTATAGCCACATGCACACAAGGACCCACGGCTTTTGTAATAAGGGAGTTCTTCGTTTATACATGTAATATTGGACTTCATTCCCTCCGTGAACAGATGCACAAAATGGTTTCCCCCAACACAGGTGTTTTTAAAACTACATTTGTGAATAAAGACAGTTGGGAAATCGAATCCTGCGGACGTGACTATCTACACATGGCTGAGCAATGTGATGGCAGGGTGGAGACTAGACATTCAGGCCCCCTTGTGCTCAGCCCCCTGTTCTTATCACCACCCACACTTCTTCTTGGCGCTGGAGAAAAAGAAGAATTCCTTGTACAGTCCTCACAATCAAAGCCACCACAGTGTGTCTTTACAGGTTCCCAAAGAAAAGGAGGGATGGAGAGAAGAAAGAAAGAAGGGGGAGCAGGCAAAAGGAAGGAAGGAAGGAAGGACGAACCACATCAGAAACAAGCATTATGTCACATCAACAACACAGAGACACGTCTGGCAAAATATCGAAACCTAAACCTGAGTTATTTCCCCACTTGAATGTTTGCCTTTTAGTTGCTACAAGAACCCCAGCTAAGACGGTGATGTACCGTGACCCAAAGAGTGGCTGCAGAACTTACCCGATGACCTGAGAAAACATTCAGTAGCAGGCACCAATGTGCTGCAGAAAGGACAGTGAGGAGGAGGAGGGAAGGGTTAGAGGAAACAGCGGCTGCTGTGCGGGGCGAGTAGTGGGAGTAGCCAAGGAAAAATCCCAAGCGCCTACCTTTCCACTCTCCCCCAGCCTCTCCTTCTCCAACAGTTTTTGGGACTCCTTTTCCCAGTAGGCCATCAGTGCCTCTCTGCTGAAGTTCCCCGTGGGAGTTTTCTCAGTCAGACTCTTTTGCCTCAGCCCCACAGGAAGGCTGTGATCAGGTTCAATGTCTTCCAACTCCCTCTCGAGCTCCTTCAGCTCCTCAGCCGACAGGGAGGCGAGGAGTTCATCCTCATCGATGGACTCATATTTGCTAAGTCCTCTTCGGTAGCCAAAGGTAGACATGGTCCCCGCTTTGTCAGACCCGCAAAGAGCTCGAAGAACCAGGCATTCAGGGCAGCTAGAAGCAGGCAGGGAGGCGAGTGGGCAGGCTGGCCAGCAACTGGTGCTAGGAGTAGCTGTGATAGCCTTTTAAGAGCGGTGATACAAGGCTCTGACAATGCAGAGAGGGGTGAAGGCATAGGCTGTTTTAAGCATCAGACGTCAGCTAGCCATTTGAACACAAACAATGTCACATCGGTGGTGGTTGGAGGTCTCAGGAGCAGTGGGGATTATTGACATACTGGCCAGAGCCATATTTAGCTGAGCCTGACCGCCCATGAGGACGGTCCGGGAGTAATACAGAGAGGGAGCACGCCACAGTTCCCTGGACTTTATAATCCAGCAGGGGAACCAAAGATATTTTGAAACTGTCTTGCCACCACAATCAAAGCCAGGAAAAGATTCTTTCTTTACAAGTGCGGGAGTTAAGAAATGGCTCCACATCCCTGGGGGGAGGGGGGGGGGGTTATTCTGGTTCTTATACAAACGTAGTGTGGGTGGCACTGTGAGGCATGGGAGATCTTTAGAACACAAGACTTCATGTTTTTAGTGGACTTTGCAGTTAACAAAGCGCTTTAATAGAATTCTCTTTATCGTAACACTAGTCGTGTGGGATGAGTAATAGTACCCTCATTTTATGGATTTTTGGTTCAAGAAATTAAGTGGAAAATTCAAAGTCAGACAGCTAGAAGTGCAAAACTAGCTTTTTCCTCAACAGAACAGTTTCCTTCCCTCCGACGTAGATTTTTTAGTAAAAAAAAAACCCTAGATCTATAAATAAAACTTAAAGAAGATAAATAACAGTGAGTAGTGTTTATTGAGGACGAACACGAGCCAGGCGAATATTAAGTACTTTTACATGTTTTATCTCATTAACCCTATCATTCCTAGTTTGCATATTACTACTCATAGTTTACTAGAACAGACTTGGAAAAGTTAGGTAAACAGGTCAGGGTCACAGGGCTCAAGAGCTAGAATTTGCATGCAGACTTGTATCTTGGTTGAAAATTGAAAATGTGCTAGTTATATTTGAGGGAGTTTCCCAAAGTTTGTGGAAAAATTCAATTATCTTTTAATTCCATTTTTCCATAGACTTTCTGAAGCTCCTGTGTGTGTGTACTCTCCTCAACATGATTCAGTTCCAAAGACAAGGATGCTATGTGAAAATGTGGGATAAACACAAAATGGAACATGACTACATCATTACATAACCAACAATCTACAGAGAATCATTGCCCAGTCAAGTTAACACATAACCTTGACCATCAAAGTCAATGTTACTCTCTCCTTATACCTCAGCATTTGTTATTGCCAGATGCATGCTGTGAATGAACAAAGCAGTTGAATCGAAAGTATTCTGTCAGTTGGATAGAAAAGTTCTTTCAGATTCTTCTAGCTCTCAGATGTTTTGCCAGTGTTGTAATTGTAAAATGTCAGAGCACAAGATAGTCAGCACGTGAGGACGGTGTATAGGATGGTGTATAAATGAGAGGGCTTCAAAATAAGCCCACTTGTTTGTGTGTGTGTGTGTGTATGAAATATATAATATATATTGTGTACATATTCACATAGTCTTATCACATTAATATACATAGCTTACCAGATGTCATGAAAATGTCACACTAGCATATACACATGTAACCATTGAGTAGAATGTACATGCTTAGAAATATATATGTATGTACATCTTAAAAAACAAACTCAGTGCCATCAAGTCAATGCTGACTCATAGCAACCCCCTAGTGGGTTTCTGAGACTGTAACTGTTTACGGAAATAGAAAGTCCAATTTCTCTCCTGAGGAATTGTTGGTGGTTTCGAACTGCCGACCAATGTGTAACCACTACACCACCAGGGCTCCTGTATGTATATATATCAACAAGTTTATCAACACATGCATGTATATGTATGAACAGCATAGGTTGCTTCCAGGTTTGGCTAGTATGAGTAGTGCTGTCACGAGCATTTGCCTGCAAGTCTTGGTGTGGTCATGTAAGTTCATGTCCCTTGGCAGATGCCTAGGAGTGAAAGGTGAAGTGGTGAAGCTGCGAGCCCTCCAGTCACACAGCCCAATGTTAGTCTGCTCTGTGTCTTTCCAGCTGCCTTCTCCACAGAGAAATAATCCATAACTGGACTCAGCACGAGGAGCACCTAAGTAGGGCTTAGCTGCTGTGATTTCTATGGCCATAGTCTCTAAATTAAAAAATCAGACAAATGGATGGTCTCAAAGGAGATTTTGTCATCTATTTCTAAAATCTTTTGATGGGACAAAGATGTCATGGTCTGCTTTGATCAAGATGCCAGCCTTAGGAACCTTATGGGGTACTTCGACTCTGTCCTGTAGGTTTGTGATGGAAACAGGGTTTTTTTGGTGAGTAGGTTCTTAATGCTTGTACCAGTATTTACTTCCCTAAATTCAACTATGGTTGAGAACTTAAAAAAAAATATATATATATACACATATATATTTTAAAGTTCAGATCAGATTGTTTATTGTTCTATCAAACAGCAAAAACAAAAAGCACCCAGCCCCACTTTGGGCACACCACACTCACACCAAATGCCAAACGTCCGCCATTGAGTTGATTCTAACTAATATTGACCCTACAAGATGGAGCAGAACTGCCCCTGTGGGTTTATGAGGCTGTACATCTTTTAAAAAAATAATTTTATTGGAAACGTACAGATATTATAACAATCCATAATTCAATTACATCAAGCGTAATTGTACAATTACTGCCACCATTATTTTCAAAACATTGTCTTTCTTCTTGAACTCTTTGATATCAGCTCCCCTTTATCCCTGCCCCACCCTGCCCCCCAAGAACACTTACTCTTATATTATAGTTATTATTAATATATCAGGACCACATTACACCATCCACTGTATACGTTCCCCTACAATTCTGTTATTTGGTCTCCTCAAGTGGGGTTATACAGCCGCGACTACAACTATGAGAGTAGGAGGCCCTGTCTGTTTCCGTGGAGTGGGTGGTTCTGGTCATTTCAACCTGACCTTGTGATTAACAGCCCAATGCCTACCCAGTACACCAGCATCTATCTATCTATTGATCTATCTATCTATCTATCCATCCATATACCTATCCCACTGCTATAACGTCCATTCTATTGAAACACAAAACCAAACTCACTGTCTTCAAGTTGATTCCAACTAATAGCAACCCTATAGAATAGAGTAAAGATGCCCTTATGGATTTCCAAGACTATAATTCTCTAGGGGAGTAGAAAGACTCATCTTTCTCTCACAGAATGGCTAGAGAGTTTAAACTGCTGAAGTTGCGTTTGCAGCTGAAGTTATAACTCACTCTGCCACCAGGGATCCTAGTCACACAACACAAAGGGTCTTAAAAAGTCCATGGACATCCCATGATGCACACCTTCCCGACACGATTGTTGAAGACAAATGTGCACATAAGCAAATGTGGTGAAGAAGCTGATGGTGCTATATCAAAAGGTATAGCATCTGGGGTCTTAAAGGCTTGAAGGTAAACAAGTGGCCATCTA